TATGACATTTTAGTCAACCACCTAAGTTTCTTAATCTCATTCCTGTACATCCAAATCATTACCCCCAGCTTTATCATCATGCCATCACCAATTTAGAATTCCCTTTGATTATAAACTTTTTGATCTTCATACTTCTTGCGCATTGCACTCCTTCCATCAGAGCCATGAATTCAGCCCTTCATGAATCACCTACACTAATTGGTACATTTTACTGTTTATAAATAATAAAACTAAATGGGCATTTAATGGCCCTTAACCTGGTCAAAACAGATTTAATAAGTACTTGATTATGGACATTTTAAACCAGGCACCCCATCGCGTAATATGGAATTGCCCAGAAACACTTTGACTCCAGAACACCATAAGTTCAACTCATAACCATAAGTTCCTTAATAAAGTTCTGATTCAAAAGTTGAACTGACCCTTTTGGGGAGTCATCCCAAAGTATTTGAATGACAGTAAACTGAAACAGATCATGGGTTGGGTAGCAGGGCTAGCCTAATTTTGGGAGACCTGGCATACCTTTTGTGCATAGCATTTTTTCCAACAATTTATAAAAGATGTTAGTTGCCGATAAAAAAATAATACTTTAGACCACCAGAATCACCTCATTCCTTGCACCAGAATCACAGCAGACAGTGCATGCCACATAAGCTGCCCACCCCAAACCATGGCCACATCATCTCTGTCCTCCATACACTACTTTTTTAATCCAATTCATAAATATCATGCATTTACCACTTCTTATCTTCTTGAATGCATGCCTTCAAATAAATGTTTTAAAAGGCATGCCTAGGCACAGAGGCAGCACACTTTCCAGGCTGGACGCCTCGCCCAGGCTAAGGCGCACAACCATTGGACAGGCGCTCACCTTTGCACCTAGGCGTGTGCCTCAGGCCAGGCGACAGGCAGCCCAGGCGGCCTGGATGATGTCTAAACACTCCAATCTAAACAAACTTCGAAAACATATTAAAAAATATTAAAAAAATACAAAATAGGAAACTTGGGAAAAAAGGAAGCTGAATCGGCAGGGGTCTTTGCCAAAACAACCAAAAGAAAAAAAAAAGTCTGAAAGTGGAGGGAAGACTCCAAACCAGACTACCAAAGAAAGCTGAAGCTCATCCAGATCTAGTTCAAGCTCAAGTTCGTCCAAGACTCCAAGGCTGAATCAGGTATATATATATATATATATATATTTGTCTCCGCCCCATTTATTTATTTTGGCTTTTCTCAGTGAAACAGGGGCTCCGCCCCTTTCTCTCAGTGAAACAAGGGCTCCGCCCCTTCTTCTACAGGGGATCCACCCCATTTTTTCAGTTTTTCTCATTAAAACAGGGGCTCCACCCCATTGTTTTTTAGTTACTTTCATTAAAACTTCCCATTCTTCTTTATAGTTTCTACAAGGACTTGCATACTTGCAGACTTGCAGTCTTGCTTCTTGGTTCTTACACAAAAACAATGGCTCTGCTTCATTTTTTTTAGTTTTTTTTTCTCATTAAAACAGTTTAGTTTTTCTCATTATCAAATAGAATAGTTTATTTATTTGTGTTATTGTCAAGTAGAATAGTTTATTTATTTTCGAAGTCTGATAGATTCACAAATATGAGTATTGATAGTTGCAAATTGCAATTTGTTATCTGCCAATAGGAAATTTTGCCAACCAAGTAAAGAGATGGGAGACAAGTCCGACAATACTCAAGAAAGCTATAGGAAAGACCCGGGCTGGAAATATTGTTATTTGCAAGATCCAATGAATACAACTTGTATCACTTGCAAATTTTGTGGCAAAGTGACAAATGGAGGGATCTATAGAGCAAAAGAGCATTAAATTGGTGGAAGAAGAAATGTGAAAGTCTGTCTTAAATGCACAAAAGAGGTGAAAGAAGAGATATTAGCTTACATGCAAAGAAAAAAATCAATGAAGGAGGGCATAGTTGGAAGTCAGGAGGGCAGAATTCCTGATTTTGATGATTTTAAAAATATAATTGAAGATGAAGATGAGAAGGGGGACAGTAGAAGTGCTCGGTGGTGGCGATCACATTCCTTCAGCTTCAAGTTCAAAAAAAAGTTCTAAACAGCCCCCCATAAGAAGGCAAAAGGGCCTTTGGATAAATTTTTTCCTACTCCAACCCAGAAGAAATTGTGAATTTGAGAAGAGAACAGAAAAAGATGAAGCAAACCACTATTAGTTATGCGTATAATAAAGAAGGGAGAGAGCAAGTATGCATGCACATTGCTAGATGGTTTTATCAAGCCGGTATTCACTTGAATACCGTATGCTTAAAAAGTTTTGCAGCAATGGTAGAGGCAATAGGGCAATTTGGTTCGGGATTAAAACTCCCAAGTTACCATGAGTTGCGAGTTCCTTTCTTGAAGGAGGATGATTATACAAAAACATTGCTTCAACACCATAACAGTGTTTTAAAAGCGCAAGGCAGAAAAAGGTGCAGGGGTCAATTTGCGCCTAAGGTGCAAGGCGAGGCGCATGCCTTTCTGAAGCAAGGAGCAAAAAAACAAAAAAAAAAGCTAAAAAATCAAAAAAAAAACTGTCAAAAAAAATAAGCAGAATATTAATAATAAATATAAACTTAAATTTTAAAATAAATGTTTTAAAAAATTGCACTTATGGGATATATCTATAACCATCCAGGTTTATTGACCCTGATGAGGAAGTTCACAAATCAAAGAGATATGATTGGGCCAGCAAAAACTCGTTTTACTACCTCCTTTCTCACATTGCAGAGTATATACAAACAAAAGAAGAAATTGAGAGATTTGTTCAACTCAAAGGAATGGAATGATAGCAAATGGATAAAAGAAGCAAAGGGGAAAAGAATAGGGGGAGACAATCATGATGCCCACATTTTGGAATAATGTCATAATGTCATCTTTACTCTTAAAGTGTGTGGCCCTCTTGTTCGTGTATTAAGGTTGGTGGATCGTGAAAACAAGCCTTTAATGGGTTACATTTATGAGGCTATGGGCCGAGCAAAAGAAGCCATTGACAAGGCATTTGGTGGAAGGAAAGAAAAGTATGAAGATATTTTTTAAATTAATGATAAGAGGTGGGAATGCCAACTCCACCAACCATTGCATGCAAGTGGTTATTTTTTGAACCCCCAATTTTATTATGATGATCAAGAGAGAATTGAAACAAATGAAGAGGTTATGACGGGGTTTTTTAAAGTAATTGAGATGCCTGAGAAGGACAAGAACAAGAAAAGTTTAATCAATGATGAAATATTCAAGTGCAACAATGCAGAAGGCATTTTTTGTTTTAATATGGCTATTTCCCAAAGGAAGATTAAAGCACCAGGTAAATAACATTGATTTAATAATTGATCTAATATTTGACTCTTAATATTTTTAGTTAGTCTAATGATCACTAGTTCAGTTAATATTTATATTTTTAGCTGAGTGGTGGACCATATTTGGTGCTTTTACCCCGGATCTACAAAAGATTGCAGTGGAAGTTCTAAGTTTGACATGTAGTGCATCGGGATGTGAGCGAAATTGGAGCGTATTTGAGCATGTATGCCAAACTACTACACTAGAATACTTCCTTTTTTTGGGGATAAACTATCTTAAATTTACACTTATTTAATTTTTTGAATTAACAGATTCATACTAAGAAAAGAAATCGGTTGGATCAGAAGTAATTGAATGACTTGGTATTTGTTAAGCTCAACCAGATGCTTAAAGAAAGTTTCGACTCATGTGGCACTAATGACCCCATTTCATGAAAAGACATAGATGAGAATAATGAATGGGTTAATGGGGGAGGTAGGACGTGATGAGGATAGTGCAGAAGCTGATTTGGTGTTTGATGATGATACACTAACATGGGGAGATGTTGCTCGTGCTTCTGGAGTTGAAGAACCACTAAGGTATACAAGGTCTAGAGCTTCAACTTCACAAGCAAGAGCAACAAAATCTAGTGGAAAAAGACCAAGACAGCTTCAATTGGAAGATGAAGAAGAGGAAGAAGAAGTTGATGTTGATGTTGATGTTGAAGTTGAAGAAGAAATGGAAGAGGATTTTGATGACTACAAGTCAGATGACAATGAAGAGGATGTTGATTCAGTCCTGAAGAATGGCTGGAACCTTAAGACTCTTTTTTTTATATAGAAAATTGTCTATGACTTTTGTTTTGTAGAAAATTGTCTCCGACTCATTTTTTGGGTAGAAAACTGTCTATGACTATGTCTATAACCTATGTCATTTTTTGAAGGAAAATTGTCTGTCTCTTTTTTTGAAAGAAAATTGCCTATGACTAACTCTGTGATTGTTCATTGTATTGCATTAATGGCTTGTAGCTTGCTTGAAGTCTTGAACTAAATGTTGACTGGTCATTGGTGAGTACTTGAGAACTTGATTATTTCAGATTTTTGTTGTTATTTGGCATATTAATAGGTTGTTTGTTAATTGTTTAATTTAATTTGAAGTTTAGGAATATGTCTTTTAATTATACCCTACAATTTTTGCATTTGTTTTTGATCTGTGTGCCTTGCCCCCAAAAAGGCATGCGCCTCAAGCGCAAAATGGTCCTTGCGCCTTTCGCATTTAAAACACTGCTTCAAATATAATTGCATTATGTTTGTCTTTTCTATTTCCAGTAAATTCTTTAAATTCATGATAGATGATCGATTGTACCATTTAACGACAACCTATCAGACACAAATGCCTTCTTAGACTTGCTGAATCAACTCAAGAGCTTGCTTGCCACACACTATTGGCAGATGCTCAGATTATATTTAACTACCCAGTTAGTCAGTTACTACTCAAGAGTTATGCACATGATAGTGTCAATTAAAATCAATTGTAAAACTAATCAAGTAAATATTAAGAAAAGATCCAAAACTTCTTAAGAATGAAAATTTTATAAGACTTGCAGCCATTATTGAATAATCACAGAAAAACTAGAAATACATAGTTGAACACATGGTTACATTACCTATCAAAAGAATAAGAAAATCCAAAATAGAAATGGCATACCTTACCTACTAACCAATTCAGGCCCCCAGCTTCCATCACTGATACAATTGCCTTCTGATGCCAAAGCAGCCTTGTCTCAGGAATAAGACTCTTCTGATCAGTTCCAGAAACACTCTTCAGATCACTATAAGGATCAACTGAAAATACATTGCCACATGAACCAGAAAACCCGCAAGTTTTGGCATACAACTGAGCTTTCTCATACATGCTTGAGTTTAAATCAATAAAACTACAAACTATTGAGACCACATATACAAGTATCTTTTGTAAGACCTTAGTCTTCTCAGAAGTAGGAGTTGATAATCCTTCGTCAGCAGCAAAAGCACCACTAACTGTTTTAAGCTGGACAACTGACGCTGAAAGAAACAAATGACATGACATTAAAAAGAAAACTCCATGATCATTTAGCAGTTCCATACATTACACAAGACAAAAAAGCAATGCTCAGCACTAAAATTTAAAACAAGGGAAGACCCCATAGATAATTGTAGTGATACAGTGGACCAGACCTGATACTTTCTTGTGGTCTCATTCATCATGTTACTCCGTTACTTATTTTGTTATTTTCTTTTATCTTTTCTTGCTGATTAATGTACTGTTATAGGTGGCAGGGTATTTCAGTCCTTTTACATCATGTTATGCTGGCACAAATAAATAACATTGTTTAGGGTGGCAGTAACATAAAATTCCGCCCCCTTTCTCTTCTTCTTCCTTCCTTCTCTCCTTTTCTCTTCTCTCTTCTTCTTTTCTGGGTTACTTTTCATCCTAAATGTGTTTAGTTAACAGCAGTAAATTCAAGTTGGTATCATAGCAGGTTTAGGTCTGCTCTTCACTCTTGTAAGCTTTAGCCAGCCGGATACATGAAATTTTCTTAGGGCTGGAGTTTTAGTTCTTCTCGTGTCCTGATTCTTGGAGATTGGTAGTTGAAGCTTGCCCAAGATTTTTTCTTACATGGAGATTGCCCAGCAGTCAAAAATCAAAGATACTGAGTTCAATTGAGATTTAGGGTTTAAATCTCAGATAGAAGATGGCACTCAGAAATTTCTGGGTAGCTTTTCAGCTTTTCTAAAGATTGACAGCAGGAGGTAGGGTTCTTGGAACCTCTGTAAGGAGTGGCTTGTTATGGGCCCGGGCGTAGGATCTCATCACGGGTCGGTCCACGGGGTAAAGCTCCTGTTTTCCCTTGTTCCTCCCCTTCCTAGCTGAAACTATCTTGGCGCCTCTGGTGATTTGTTCAAGAGATCACCAACTCTCCTAACTCACTTCTTAAACTGAATATTCGATATCCTCATTCAATAATGGGGTCTCCTTAAATAGGAGATTACAAGAGTCCTAATCCAGGGGAGTCTCCTTGCTCAATAGGGAGACTTCCAGTTCTATCTTGCTAAGGATAAAATAAGCTAATCCTAATCTCATAAGCTACTAACAAGATAAGATAAAAGCAATAGAATAAGATAAGAACAATAAGACAAGAACAAGCAAGATGATCTAATCTAATCTAGATAAGGCTGTTGTTGCCGAACTGGGTAGGATGAGAATCATTGAATCACTGCTGCTACTGGCGGTGGATCAGGTGCCTGTTGCTGCCGGTGGCGACGGTACGTCTTCCCGGGGAATGCGTCTGTTTCTACTGTTGCTACAGTAGTCCGAACCAGTAAGGAGAAGAAGAAGAAGAAGAAGAAGAAGATGAAAGAACTGTCGAACCTAATAGCTAAACCCTATCAGTCGACCTCTTAATAGTGATTAGGCTCTAATTAA